CCCCCTCAACCCCTCAGTTGTAAACATGAAGGTTAGTCAACGGAGATAGAATTGGCAACTTTTAGCAATAACATGATGTAAGATCTTTATCAAATTACCATATAGCTCACCATTTTGATATCTATACTGTACATCCTCTGCCTTGCTGTGACAGTACCGTAATATTATAGCGATTAAATGAGTGACAATATACCTCGTCTTTCTTAGTTGTTGTTGCTTTTTTTTTTTTGGTCGTCATTTTATTCCACTTATTATTTGCCAACCCATCTAGACAGGGACAGCAACAATGCTTCAAACCTTACGTTTCTAGTTATCTCTGCAGTTACTCCAATTATTATAATCTACCATACTCTCCATGTTTTTTTCTTCTTCTCAGATTTGCATTACTATTTTAATGACACCCCTCTTTTCGGTGTCAACAATTACTGTATTCAACATCCTTATTTGCACCGACTGTTATTGTACATAATTCAATATAATGCTGACATGTGTGTGAGAGAGAGACAAAGAGCCGAGTCGAAGTCATTCAATAAACTTTGCAACAAAACTGCTGGATTTATCCTTTGCATTTTATAAAAGGTCAATTAAACATAGAGTCCAATAAACTTTGCAATTAAACCCTTAGATTTATCTCATGCATTTTCCTTCAAGTCAACTTAATGTAAATTTTCTAGTACTCAACGTCAAAAGCCTCCATTAGACCCTCTAGGGGCATTTCAACTTGTCGCACAGCTGCGAAATATGACGTCACGTGGCTGCAAAAAGAGACTTGGGGTTGAAAATTGTCTGATTTGCACACTTGCAGCCGTGCAGCAGTTGAACAAGTTCTGAGTGTACCTGGTGTCTTCAAGAATTCGATCCAGGCTGTAAAGCGCTTAGAGCGTGCTGTAAAGAGTGGATATGCGCCACATAAAATCAAATACACCAATTATTATCATTGTAAATTCATCTGCATCGTACTGCGGCATGATACTGAGTTAAAGAGGACTTATTCAAAGATTCTTTGTTCTTACCATTAGCTCTGCTGGACAGCGATTAATGAAAATGATATTATGGTGTAAATCCCCACGCAATGACTGCACCAGCGTCTGAGGGCTAGCAGTTAGGCGCTTGGGTTTAGCACTCAAAGAAGTATATTCGATTTCCCTGTGAGGTTAGTTTGTATGGAGTATCTCGTTTTTTCTTCTGGTGGGACGTTTTTCCATCTCAGCCTGGGTTGGCCGCAACGAGATGATCTAAATTATGTGGATCGGGGTGTGAAACACAAACGTCTCAACATTTTTTAAAACCCATTCAAATACATTGTAACAACAAAAATGACAATAACAACAACTATATAATTTCTTGATGTTTATGGCTGAATACCGACATGTTTGGATCGATCATATCGGAAATTGCGCTTAATTGAAGTTTCGCCTAACAAATAAAGTGTAGAGAGGACCATTAAACTCAATATCAAAATTACCATACACCATAAAATGACACAGGTATTATCATAATATACATACACATGGGGCCCTCATCTCTTGTGTGACACAGAAGAGTGATAAGATAGACTTATGCCTTACACACACATCTGGGGCCTTCACTCTATGTGGAGCTATATGAATTGAGTCGCCTATACGTCATCCGCGGAAGACTCCTCTATTCGTGGGTGATTGGCGCGTGCTCTGGAGTGGTTTGCTCCTTCTTTCCAGTCAAGATTTGTCGTCCTTATCTCTCCTTCAACTTTTTGTTTGTTACTCTTCATTCACGGCATCCCCCTGACCCAAGCTGTCCGGCTGGCGACAGAGAGACGTCTCTTTCTTCCCGCGACACCCAAAAGGGTATAAGCAGCGGATGAAAGTAAAGTATTCTTACATAATACCTCTAATCTTCGGCACTAGTATGACAATATCGTGTTGCAAGTGCCGTAGAACACTTACTAAAACTAAAACTTGACACTCTTAAAAACATGGGAGGAGGTTGGAATTTACTTTTACTAGAAAAACTTTCAAAATGGCGATCGGCCTACAAGGTATGTTTTTTTGCAGCCCTGATCGACAAAATTTAACTCATTTGGGGGCGGGGGT